CCGTCCCCCTTCCCAGCAGCCACCGGTCTGCCTTCTAAACACATATTTAACGCGGAGCTGTCTCCCCCACTTCCCCACACTTGGAAACAGAGTGTGATCAACGTGATTGTTCCTTGATTCAGCATGATCGTTAACGTTACTAAAAGCCATGTCCTCAGATGTCGTGGAGAGACATAGGACTGTTTGCCCTGAACACTAAATGGCCCCATTGTTGCACTGCCATGCCTGGCTGTTTGGGGTTGGGGAGTTTCTCCATCACTGCCAGCTGTCTCGGTGCAGTTCCCAACAGACAGCTCCTGCCGCCTGGCACGCAGCACACCACCCACCTCCTGTGCCATTCCCATGCCTCACTCTGGATCAGTGGTTCTCAGCTGGGGGCAATTTTGCCCCCCACAGGGGACATTTGGCAATGCCGGGTGACATTTTTGTTTGTGCTAATGGGGGTGGGGGTGCTACCGACACCTAGTGTTTTGAGACCAGGATGTTGCTAAACATCCTACAATGTACAGGACACTTCCCACGAAAAGGAATGATCAGCCCAAGATGTCAGTGCGCCGAGGTTGAGAAACCCGTTCCGGAAGACAGAACTGGTTGGAAGAGTCAACAAGAAGTCATGATAATGAGCTGTTTCACTTTTCTGAATCAAGAGGAAGGGCAGAGGCTTGCCGGAGCTGCAAGGCCACACATAGGACACAGAGTCTGGAAGAGCCTGGGGGGGGGTCTCAGGTACCTCCTTCCAGCTCTACCAGATGTGGTCGCTGGCTTCCTGAGGACAAACTCGAGGGCACTCGGCCTGAGGCACCAAGGCCCAGCACGCAGCAGGTGCCCTGAATGAATGTCTCTCTGACTAGACTGAACCCAGCTCACCTGTTAGGTGCCCAGGTGTGGGTAGCACTGGCTGGGCATTGAAGGCGAGGCAGAAAACACAGAGGCAGAAGAAGGGAACCATTAAACCGACCAGTGAGTCTGAGATTCGGCAGAGCCAGTTACTAGAAGGTAAGCGTAGACCCAACCCCCTAACTGGGAGAATAAGGGCTGGCCACCCAGGATTGTCCCCACCGGACCAGGTATATCTCCACCAAATCACTTGTAGCTCCTCCCCCCCGCCCACAGACACCCAGTTTGCCTGTCATATAAAGGAAGTTTTCCCAGAGTGGTTTAGCCAGAACTAGAAGGGCCCTCTGCCTTGGGATGGGATAGGAGGAGCCTGATGTTGCCCAACAGTGGTCAGAATGGACCCCAGGTGTGCTGGAGCTAGATGGTAAAGTATAGGCATGCTTTATTCAATTTTGCATGATGCTGAGGTTTAATTATTTTATTACAAAAGAGATTGTAAACATTCCTGAAAATGCGGGTAAGCAAGAAGAAAACAAAAAGCTCGCAAATCCCACCCTTTCAGAGAAAACAATTATATTTTGTTATGTGCCCTTCTTTGCATGTATGGATGTGGTGTAGACATTTTGATGAAAACCAGGTGTGGGTGCTGCTGCCGAAGGCTTTGTTTGAGGAGCCTGAAAGTGGGGAAGAGGCTTTGAGAGAAAGAGACCCCCAAAAGCATTCCAGCAGGACACTGGGAGTGCCCAAGTGACGTTGACCGGGTGGATTTAACTATAGGCCTAGGGTTGCTCTTGGGAGCCTCCCAGATTAGCCCCAAGTCCAAGGATAAAGAGGTCTGGCTGGCTGCACCCTTCTTCCTGGACCCCTGCTAGGAAGGTGGGTACCCCTTCATAGTCCCTTCCTCCATCAGGCCTTACCCATCGGCCTGCTCCTCCCCACCAGTCGTCCTCCCTCCCTCTTGTCGCCTCACGTGGTCCCCCCTGACCTATGGACTGCTGTTAGAACTAATAAACTGATCCAGAGGCCCTTGGGCTCCTAAGTCAGGGGACCTGGGCTCCAGGTGCTTTCGCTCCCTCCAGCCTTAAGGCCTCAGATAAACCCTTGGGAGTGATAAAGAACAATACAGGACTTGTTCCAGTGACAGAAAGGAAGGAGTTGGGTAGCAGTCACCAGATGAGGCAAGCTTGGGACTCTTCAGAGGGCTGTTCTCTCCAGAGGAGTCTCAAGGAGAGTGGCTTCCAAATTCTTTTTAGCAGCAGAATTGTAGTAAAATACAGTCGCATGTGAAACCCTAAAATAGGAGAGGGACAAAGGTGGAGAAGCTCAGGGCAAAGCAAGGACAGGTGCTTACTTGCTCAGTCCTCTCCCCTCAGCGATGCACCTCTGAGCAACAGTTTCAAGGATTCTGCCTTATGCCAAAGGCAGGGTTGCAGGGCCAGCCTGGCAGGGACAAACTGGGAGAAGTTTCAGTGCCACTGCTGCGGGTGACATCCATCTGAGACAGAGCTCGCCCTTCTCCTCCTCCTCTGACCCACTGCTCCCCTGCGATGAGTCTCCAGGATGGGTGGGGCACCTAGGGGCAGCCAGTATTGCTTTCTGCCCCGGTTGACCTTTCTTCTAAGTCAGAGGACAAGTGGGAAGGGCACTGAAGACTCTAAGGATAGGTGGGGCCAGCCCTGTCCCACGTTTCCCTCAATGGGATTCTCTTGCTCACAGACTGAGGAGAAACCAGTGACTCACTTCCTGCTTCAGTCAGACTACAGAAATATTGTTTTCCCAAGGGTGGCTGGCACTAGTGGGGGCTACCCCAGGGTGGCCCCTACAGTCTTAGCTCCTTGCCCAGGGAAGTTCCCTCTCCCAGAGGGGGTCAACCAGACTTATGTCCCATCTCAGCTTTCAGGACCCCACGTTCTTCCGGAGTTTCTGGGTTTTGCAGCATTTGTAAAGGTGCCCAAATGGTACCTTATACCATTAGTTGAATATTATCTCTATTTTACAGAGGGGTAAACTGAGGCTCAGAGTTAAGTAATATGTCTAAGGTGACTTAATAGAAAAGAGTGCTGCAGGGATTTGAAACCAGGTTTGCTGGTAGGTGACTTGTCACATAGTGAGTCCTTAGGAATATCACTTCAACTCTGGTCTCGGTTTTCTCCTGTGTAAAATGTAGACAGGGATACATAAAAGGTGCCTAAAGGAAAATGCATTTATACCCACCTCATGGGGGTTGTGGTGAAAAAATGAATTACACGGAAAGAGCTCAGAACAGCACCTGGCTCCGAGTAAGCACTGGGCGGTGCTCGTTTTTGTCATTGTCCCCAAACCTGCGTTAAGGAGGTCACAGGATAATACCGTGCTGCCAGGTTATCTCACAGTGAACCAGGAAGGGATGGGCAGAGACTGCTCTGTGACCTTGGAATAACCTAGCCTGGGGAGCTCTTGGCCACATTTCCCCTCTTTTCTTTCTCAGCCCAAGCAGGGGCAGCCTGGCCAAGTAGCACAGACGTTTTCTAGGGCAGGAACCCAGGGAGGGAAGGCAGTCGGCTAGTATATTGCAAGTACTGGGACCCAGGCTCTGCCAAAGCCCCACGCCTCCTCCAGGCTCTGAGGCCTACTAGTTTGGTACCTTGGGCAAATTATTTAAACTTTGCAAGCCTCAGTTTCCTTATCTGTAAAATTGGATTAATAATGTCAGCTTGAAAGGATTATGTGGATTAAATAATGTACATAAGGAGATAATGTAAAGTGACTGGCCTGGTGCCTGGCAGGCGGTTGGTGTTGGAAAAAGAAAAAAAGTTAAAAGGCGGTGGGCTTCTTGTTCTGCTTATCCACCTGTCTATATATAGATGCAAATGAGATCGCGGCTCTAACAGTAGGTCCTGTGGTTTGCCGGCTGCTGTGAAGTCCAGACTGCAGGTGGGGTGTCCCACGTCCGTCATCTAGGGCACTTACCCGGTCATGCCCAAACTCACGGCTCAGGAGTGGGAAGTGGGGGGAGGAGAGGGCCAGCTCCCCCAGGATCCAGCCGAGACTGGGCTCCGAGCGACTCTCAAGCCCTTCCCTACTCAGGCCCAGGGTTCCGAGTTCGGGTCTCGTCTCTGCGCCGCCCGCCCGGGGAGTTCGCCGCGCGAAGAGCCGAGGGCCGGGGTGCGGGCAGTGGGGCCCGGCGGCCCCGCTTCCTACCCGCAGCTACTGGGAACCGGAGGCGGCGGACGCCCCATGAGGCCGTAGGGCCGCCGCTCAGGCCCCGGCAGCATGGGCGGCGGGACCGGGACGGCCGCGGCCGGGAGCGCGGAGGTGGCGCCGCGCGGGGGAGGGGCACGGCGGCGGCGGAGGAGGAGGAGCCGGGGCCGCCGCAGCTGCTGACAGGACCGGAGTAAACAAGCC